ATACAATCTTACAAAAATTAGTAAAGGTGGAAGGCAATGCTTATACGGTGTCTTTCTTTGTAGCTTAAACCAGGGTTGCAGATAAGGCAATAATCAGTGTTCCAATATCATAACTGGGAAAATCAAGCACTTCCTACTTTCTTCAAGCCTCAGAAAAAGGGTAGGGGAGAAACCAAGGAAATAATTCTGCTCAGTATCTTCCTGGGTCAGGGCTTTTTCCCCAGTATCAAGTACTGCCTGTTGAGAATTAAGGCTTTTATATTTAACATGTGTCTGTGTTTTCATTCTGCTTTGTCTCCGTTGAGTTTCTTTTGTATAACCTTCAAAAGATCACTCAGAGAGATGTTCTGTACTCAGAGGGTAAACTAAGTCTCCGCACAAGCTCCCAACCCATCAGGGAACAGAACCAACTCCAGAAGTTGAGTAGTTGTCATTTATTCCATAAAATCTGGGTAATCTAGCTCCCTTTATAGTTTGTCTTATTGGGAATAGAATAATCATTAGCTGATAGACTTGAAAAAATAATTAGACCTGAAAGTGATCTAAGAGATCATATTACCAGAACTGGAAAATTGGCCCAGCAGGTTAATTTACCTGGTAGATGGGATTTATTTGGAAATCCCATCTTTTTTTCATATATATATATATATTCATAAGCTCTGATCTTTCCCTATTGGAAAGATATATAAGCTGACTAAACTGCATTTAGATGCCTAAATCTGGAGTGGAGAAATGAGACAGAACCCATTAAGTTTATTATCCCATTAAAAATGAATAAGGAAGCCACAGAAGACCATTCATGGTAGATTGAAGAATAGTCCCAATTTTTCACTCTCTCCCTATCTCTTGCTTTTGCATGTAATATGGTAGCTCTCCAATTCTGACCCTGGACTTGGTGGGTGGCTTAGCTTGGCCAATGAGATACTAGCAAATATGATACAGAAGCTGAAAACAGGCTTTGCACTGGGAATTGCTCTCCTACACCTCTGCTGTTACTGTAAAAACTTGCCTAGGCTAGCCTGCTGGAGGATGCGGAATCTGTGGAGCAGAACTGGGTTTCCCATGTTGGCCCAGATCAAGCCAGTCTAGATCAGCCAACAGCCAGCCAACCCTAGATACGTGATCAAGGCCATCCAAGTGCATCAGAGCCACCTAGCTGAGCAATAATTCATTATCTGATATTCTAGTGAGGATTAGTGGTTGTCATGCAGCATTACTGTGGCACTGAACAATTGCTACACCAATGAGAACTTCCATTAGAGTAAGGAGCTAAGGAGGGTAAACTAATAAATTCTTGCTGGTACTAGAATAGATAGAACCAGTTGTTGAGGGAAAAAACCTGAAAACTTTAAAAATCAAACTGATTTTAAGACTTGAAGCTGAGCACATATCTCAGGACATATCTGTTTCTAAATTATAAGAGTCAAAATACATTCCAAAGCCAGCCTATAAACAGACTAGGGCCATATTTAATCATTTCTTAATGATTAATAATTACAGGTAAGCATTAATGAGAAAAATGTTAGAATGTATTTCATTAATATTATATTTTGTTTTTATAAGTATACTTATTTAATGTTTCTTACTGTTTAGAGTTATCTATTTTAATAAAAATGAAAAGGTTTTATTCATGACTGTAACTAAAAAGCTTAATCAATGCTAGGTGTTTCCATGAACTCTGATAGCTGAAAGCTAGCTTTTTGAAACATGAGGCTGTCAGCCAGGAATTGCTGTTAATAGTGAAAGAAGACCTTGATTGTAAATAAAAATTACCAAGAAAACAATTAGCTTCTTAGGCGCTTGACAACTTAAAAGATAATAAAGACAACTACACTTCTATCCAAGATCCTGAGCAGATGCATTCAAACTATATATTTATATATATATATATAAATCATCTAAAATGAAATTATCCAAAATGCCTGATTCCTTTTAGATGCCAAAGGGGACTTGCTCTACGCTTTCATTACATATTAAAAAGGAGAAAATACAGGGGCTAAAATCCTATTAATAAAACATATGAAGTGATTCAAAATGGCAGAAAGAGAAAGCCACGGACACACAAATATTTGAGAACCACTCATTCCAAATATAATAAATCCCATGGCAAAGATAACTGAATTTTGATTGAGGACCAGTGACGCTTAGGATAAGGTCTCCTCCTGGGTAAGTGAGTCTGACCCACATCCACAAAGGGCCCCTGCCAGGGTGAGTTCTTTGCAACAGCAGCTTTCAGACTCTTTTGAAATGATACATACTTTCTGTCACAGCTCAGCACACACACAAATACGTGTGGGGTGGGGGTTTGTCTGTGTATATGTGTGCCTTGCTTTGAAAAATACAATGTACACAAGGGTCTTGAATCAGAGCAGGAACTATCTAAGCTGTTTAATAACAGCATTATTTTGTTGTGCTTTCTAGATAATAAGTGTATACTTGCCATAAAAGCTAAAGTATTAGGTTGGTGCAAAAATAATTGCGGTTTTTGCCATTGACAATAATGGACTATTTATGCATCAACCTAATATTTTAAAAGTCAGTATTGTGACAGCTATGAATATTCAATGGCTTAACATACTTATTTGGTATTCTTATTGTAGATCTTTAAATTGTCCTTGGAGATGCAGATTTTCTAGAATCAATACATACCCAAAGATAGTAACTCAGTCTTAGTTTGCTCCTTTTAAAATCTGTAGCTGTAAGATTTAACTCATTAGGGCACAGAGGTAATATGTCTCCAGAAAGCCTGCTAGAATCTCAGACTGAACAGCTAAATCAACCTATATGTTGTTTGTCTTACAAGGATCAGAATTAGTACAGTTCAGCCTAACACCACAAATCCTATTGAAAAATGATGTCAAAATGTATGACAGGTATATATAAATCGTTCTTTCACAATTAAAAATATATATTATATTTCTATCCAGATTCTTTCAGAGTTTAATGATGGTGACAAGTTTTTGATTTGCTAAAGAATGACTACAACTTTAAGAGTACAGAATATATCCATGTGTATGGTGTAACAGTCCACACTAAATACTGGTTTTTAAGAAACTAGTATTTCTTTATATTCTTATTGGATTTAGAAATGCCTTCTATTTGGAGGCTTTTTCTTCTTCAAATTCCTAAAGAATGAGTATTCTACCTCCTCCCCATTTTATAAGCTTCTTGTCTAGCCTTGTATGAGATTACTGAATATATATTTTTAATACTCAAAAGTAAAATAGGGACATATCTTCTATGTTTATAATTGCAGCATTTACATTCCACTTTTCTAATACTTTATAAGTAGAAGACAACCGATACCTTCCATAGCATCAAAATAGAATGTAACACCTAGAGCTTTAACTTACTAGGTGGTAAAATTGGTATTTTTTAATTTCTCATGGCATCAGTTTTGATTATTTGCTGAATGACAGAATTTTATGACTTTAATGTATTCTTTAAATTGCTTCTCAGTCTCTTACTCAGCAAAAGATTCTATCACAATCTAACAGGCACATCACTGAGACAGTATAAAATTTCCCTTTATTTCTCATCGGTTTTATGGGACACGTTTTGGCTCATCCCTGTAAAATATTCAAGGATGTTAACTTGAGAAAACTAGATAACAGGAACAATCCAAATTTGTACCTTTTGGCTTTACTGATGTATGAATATTATCAGTTAGATTATCACCCTGTAGCAGCACCTATTGCAGATTTAGGAAGTTTTATACATTCAAGATTAAGAGAGCAGGTGAATCATAAGGAGCAAAAGTCTAGTCTTTCCTATAGGCTCAAGGTTCTCATTGATATGAAGCTGGCCTCAAAATAAGATAAACAATCTTGCTGGCAGATACAATCCCACTAACCCATTTTTACTGCACACCTAAATGCTGCAGTGGCTGAATACCAGAACTGATCTGGTATCTTGTTGGATATATCTCAGGTTATAACATTTCCAGTCATACCTGCCTGAAACCAAAATGATCTTTAGTAATTCAATGAAGAACCATCTACTGGGCTTCCAATATCTGTTAGACCCTGTGCAGGCTTTGGGGAGACAGAAAGGAATAAGGCTCTGTCGCTGATTTCAAGAAATTCTCACTCTTATTAAAGTAAGTTGACATTTTTCCAAACCACCATCTCATCACTTTCTGCTATTTGTTTATGAAATGTCTAGAATTCTTCTTCTGTTTCCATTTTTTGTAAGACAGCATATATAGTAATTTTGATCAAACCTCCTACTTGCTATACATAACACTTTTTGCTGTCAAATAAAATCTTTCATTAAAAATATTACCATGGTACTTTATATTTTATAGTTTGGAGACAGATCTATTCACAGGACACACAGCTCAAGAAGGAGTTTTAAATTATTATTATTCTAAGTAAAAATTTCCATCCTAAGGCCTCAGGTCCTTTCCTTTCAGCTTAGATGCATTAGCCACTCCCACGTCTGCCTTCCTCATCCCTCTCACTATTCCTGACCCAATTCCCACTGAAGCTTCTATTTTTCCGAACTCCCTTATATTCATAATTCATCATTCATTGAACTGAATGACCTTAAGAAACTTCTAGCTATTAGAACATCTACAAAACGAAACCAATATTCATTCACAAAGTACTTGGTAATACTAAAAATCCAGTTAAATCCAATATGCTACTAATAACAATATCGTGCAATATATTATAGTGCTAATAATTCCAGAACCATTTCTAACTATAAATTCTCCTTTCAGTCCTAGCATGAAACAGATAACATTTGCTTGGTAAAGAAGGTAAGTTCTGTATTGCTTATAATATGATAAGAGTTTGTAAATACCTAGCTGGAGATGGATATTAAGAACACAAATAAAAATACACAAGAACACAAATTTAATTATTTGTATGTTCCTTTCATTCTTTTATCTGGACCTGTGAGCAACAGAATGTTCTCCATAAACCCAACCAGGAAAGTATGCCTCAAATCTGCTACCTCTGGTTCTCACAAAGACCCCCAGCAGGTGCAGGACTTACTTGCTGCTCAGGCAGCGTCTCAGGGAGTAGGAGGCCCCTCCCCCGCAGGTGCGTGAGCACTCACTCCACTGGCCCCAGGCATCCCATAGGCCGTCCCGGTCCTCCTCGGAGCGTGCTGTCCTGGAACTCTGTGAGAAATGAAAGAATGGTCAGCACCATATCCCCATGGAACCCGGAAACATGTGTCCTAAAATATGACTGGCCTGTACGTGTGAACATGGTGGCCATGTGTACATGCTAGGAATGAAAGGTGCATCAGATTCTCAGATTCTTTTTCATTTCCTAATGTCTGTATGTTCAGGGAGAGGGATATTTGACTTTAAGGGGCCTGGGCAATGACTGAAGTGGGCAAGAGATTGTACAAATGTTATAAATGGAAAAGGAAGCCAGAAACAGGAATTTGGGTTAGAAGAAAATCAACTGCACTGAAGTCACAATTTTGCTTAGGGTTCATGAGTGTACTCTTCATCTCTTCATGAAAAGAAAGAAGCTGCTCTCAGAGGTGTTTCTGCCTGAGAAGCTTGGCCTGTGCACACCAACACTGCTTCCCAAAATCTAACAATATTTTATACCCTTGACAATTTTTTAATAAAGCAATTTTATTCCTAGTTTTCAGATTTGTTCATTGGAGTAACTATACAAAGTAACTTTAATAATTCAGGGATTTCTCCTTGACAAATTTGCTGGTTCCTTGCAGGCTTTCTAGGAAAATTTCCATCTACTGTAAGGATACTTGTGGTTAGGTACAGGTCTCAATGCTATACTTCACATTCAAGAAAAAGATACAATTTTTGCTATAGTTAAAAGAACAGGCTCTGGAGTTACAAATTATTTGAGTTTAGGTACAGGTTCTGTTTTTTATTATGAGTCCTTGAACAAGTAAATTACCACCTTCCTATGTCCCAATTTCTTTTTACAAAGTGGGGGTAACATTACAACCATGCTACTGTGTACGCGCACGCACACACACACACATGCACACACGCACACATTATATAGGAAGATTAGCAAAGTGAACTTAGCCCACTAAGAACTAATGCCAGAGTAGAGCACTAATTTTTATTTTGTAGTAATGGGATCCTTCATAAATCAGTTGCTATGGGGTTTGGTTGTTAAATTGACTACTCCTTTGAACTTTTAAAACTGTAAAAATTAAGTCAGAAACCTGGCCTCAGGATGTTATACAGATGGTTTTCTAACTGGTACATGCTATACTTAGGTTCCTGAATCATTTGAAAGGGAGATGAGATAGCATAGTGATTAGGAGCAAGAAGGGTGGATCTACTCAGCCTGCAATGGAATGCTGGTTTCAGAGCTTCCTAGTTACATAAACTTGGGTACATACATAATCTTATATGCTTCAGTTTTCTTATCGTAAAATGGAGCTAATAAAGATACTGTGACAATGAATGAATCCATGGATCTCTGTGAGCAGTGAAAGAGTTGATACATAAAAAGCACATAAAGTGGAAATAACCCAAACGTCCATGAGTGGATGAATATGTAAACAAAATGTGGTATATACCTACAATGGAATACTATTCAGCCTTAAAAAGGAAGAAAATTCAGGCACAGGTTCAACATGAATGAAACTTAAAGAAGTCAGACACAGGATAACAAATATTGCATGATTCCACTTATTGAGGTACCTAGAATAGTCAAATTCATAGACACAGAAAATAGAATGCGGGCACTGGGAGAGAGGGGAATGGGGAGTTGTTTTATGGATACAGAATTTCAGTTAGGGAAGATGAAAAGTTCTGGAGATGGATGGTAGTGACGATGGCAAAACAATGTGAATGTATTTAATGTCTCTGAACTATATACTTAAAAATGGTTAAAACGGTAGCTTTTGTGTTAATTCATTTCACTACCACAAAAAAAAAATACACATAACATACTTAAAAGTACATAGGGCCTAAATAGTAAACACTATATTGTATAAGTGTTTGTTGCTATTATTATTTAACATTATTTATCACTTTTTATTAATATCATGTATAAACATATATGGGCTCTGAAAGTTTACAGGAGGTGCACTGGTAAGGCACCAGGGTTTCCGCTGTTGAGATTAGTTGAGACAGCATGCTTGTAAGGTATCATCTTCCTGAAATCCATGGCTTTCCCACAGTAGGACCTTGCAGCCTCTTGTCATATTGTATCTGCCTGGTGATGTAATCGGCCAGCAGTTTTATGTTCCTACAAAATGTGGCGAAGCATGGTTAACAGAGCCACATTGGTAACCCCAAAATCGGTACTTTTGAAAGGAAGGACATATTGAGCTCCAAAGCCTGGTTTTTAAGATTATTAAAATCAATTAATCACTGCATTATGGGGTACTCTGTTTTCCGGACTTAAACAGTGAGAGAGAAAAGGCTCTTTGCCAGTGGTATATAAATATCCAAATCCCTTCTCCATCGCCCAATAAATTCATCCCTCAGATTTTTAAAATTGTACGTCTATCTTCTAACTTTGTTTGCTGCATGTGAATAGAAGATAGGATTGCTGACTGCTGAGAGATGCAGTATTTTCCTGAAGCAGTTTCTATTTGTGTGACAAATATATATTTGTGCAATTTTTCTCTCATTTTACTCAAATTCAATATGACTTTGATGAAACTGTTATCACAAATGTTAGGATTCTTGCAGTAATTGAAATGAGTGAAATGAGTGATTACAAACTTTGATGCTATCCATTACTACAACTGCAAAAACAAAACAAAACAAAACAAAATCACACACGCAGCATTCACGTGCAAACTTCATTTTCATGTGAGATAAGAACATCAGAATGCCAAATGGGGAGTTTCCCTCTGGATGTTGTCTGGGTAAGATGTTTGGTAAATAACGTATGGTTGTAATTTTGTTTTTCTAGGAAAACAAGTTGTTTCAAACTCTGCGTTAAAGTTTCTTGATGTTTTTCATGTGCCCTGTCTGAAGAAGTACTAAAAGCTTCAACGGTGATCTTCCACTGCTAAACATCTTATCATCTCATCACATAGTACACATTTTAACCCAAGTACACATATGAAGTGCCCATGATGTCTCTGAATGAGATTTCATGCAAACGCAGAAGCAAGTCACAGGTCTATTTCACAAAGTCGAACAAACTCCAAGTTTTCTTTTAACAAGTACAATAAACATAATTCATTTCAATGGAATTTATGTTTAATGTTGGAGAAAGTGATTTCTCTTTTAACTGTGCCAGGTATTTACATGTAAAACCAGAAATGGCTTTTTAGAGATGCCTTTCTGGGCACTGAAAATCTAGAAGTATTTGCTTATTGCAGTTTTTAAGACTTTCTTCTATATACACAAATTTTGTGTCTGCCCTGGTAGGAACACATGCTTATTTCGCTTTCACTTTTTTTTTTTTTTGAGATAGTGTTCTGCTTTGTTGCTGAGGCTGGAGTGCAGTGACATGATCACTGCAGCCTTGACCTCCTGTGCTCAAGGGATCCACCCACTTTGGCCTCCCTGTAGCTGGGACTACAGGTGCTTGCCACCATACCAGGCTAAGTTTTATATTTTTCATAGACATGAGGATTCGTCATGTTGCCCATGCTGGTCTTGAACTCCTGAGCTCAAGCTATCCACCCACCCTAGCCTCCCAAACTGCTGGCATTACAGGCATGAGCCATCATGCTTGGCCCCATTTCTCTTTTACTTTTGAATGTACCGTCCTTTTAACTTTACAGTAGCAATTTTCTAAAGTGTAAACTTTGAATTGCTTCTAGCAGGGGAAACGGAGGCAGAAGAAAAATAGAGTAGATAATGTGTTGCCTAAAAGTAATGCTGATTGCTTCTGAAATTAAAAATCTAAGCTTTTCTATACAGGCCAGCCAATGTTTTTCAATACGATTTTCATCACACCAATATTTCAATTCAACGTCTTGAATTAAATTTAATATTTTAATTCAATGTCTCAAAAGGAAGGTCATGGATGCTATTGAACACAGTGTTCAAGAGATTATCCCTGACCCCACTGCTGGAAATTTCAGCAGCAATGTCCTGTGAGATGCTAATCTTTATTAATATCAATGACAAAGAAAGAAGAACCATTCAGTTCTTTATGTAAGGCAATGTTTCACCGGTAGGAGATTTATCATAAAAACTCTAAACTGCATCTCATATTAAACTTGAGGGACAAAGCTGTTATAAAGCCCTTTCTTATTTTAGCAACTATTTTACTTTATAGGCATTGGATCAGTGAGAATAGACATTTGGCAGCTGTTTTGATCTAGCATTTGAGAAATCCAGTGAACACTGACAGAAGAAGTGCCTGAGTTTGGGCTCTATAATTTTACGAAAATTGATTATACCTCTTGAGTTATTCAATTTACAAACAGTTCAGCCACTTTTAGATCTTTGGTGCTACATACTGACCTTAAATGTAGTGTTGATTAAGACTCCTAAATCAACTGCTGCCTCGTCAGAAACTCAGCAATCAATCTCCCAATTCCATTGACCCATTGTTGTTGGCCAGTCAAGACGTTCTTAGCCTCAGTGAATGCCAATTGCATGAAATACAGATTGTGGTCACAGATCATTACATGCCTCCTACAAATACTAGAAGAGCTCTTCTACATCCATCAACCTCTGAATGGTGTCATGTTCTTGCCATTACTGGCTTATCTAAACGTGCTTTTCATCTGATAGTTTTGTGGTTGATTACGGGGCCAATTGCAGCAACAAGGTCTCAGGTGAACAGCTCCAAGGTTGACAGCTACAAGTAGTTAAACAATTTGAGTAATCACATGAAGCTCTATTTTCCCTGCAGCTCACTGCCCAATAGATACTTCACCTTAGAATGACCTCTGTGTACCACTTATCCACAGCCTCTTTCATTGGAACCTGGACAGATTATCAAATACATGAAAGATATAAGATGAAGCAGAAATTAGCAGTTGAAAGACTAGAGTTGTATTTGCTCAGAGACACACATCTACAAGGTACTTGGAAAATATTTTTTCCAAATGTTATAACAAGAGGTCAAGATATATAAAATTAAATGAAAAAAATGTAGGTGCTGAGGAAATGCTTGATAGTTTTTCGTAAAATTGAAGTCATATAACAGCTGAAGTTATAATCAAAGAGAAGCATTTTCAAGATGTCAACAGATCCTCCAA